CTGCCCTGTTCCAGCACCAGATGAGGAGACAGCAAACTTACAGGGACTGCTTAATGAGTTCCTGCCATTACAGAAGGCCCTTTCGTTATGAAAAATCTTCACACACAGATATTATCGCCTACTGGTTCTGCTTTCCTGGTTGAAGGTTGATTGATATAGATTTTGGTAATAAGTGTGATTTCAGAAGAATAAAATTTTAAGAAGAAATTCTCTGAAATTGTTCTGGGTTTCTGGAGTTCCCTCATTTATCTGATTTGTTTTAAAGGCCTTCATGACCCTGTTTCTAATGGTAAAAGGGCACTGGTAGTCTACGGCAGGAAGTGGCAAGGGATTTTCTCAAATTATCACTTTTAGTTACTCGCACTCAAGCACCTGTAAGAATGCCAGCGTCTAGGTGACCAAGTAGGTGATTTCCGTAAACAAGTATCCTGGAACGTAAAATAAAATAAAAATTTTAAAAAGTACAAAAACAGCCTACTATATTGGTGCAGGCCTATAGTCCCAGCTACTCTAGGGGCTAAGGTGGGAAGGTCGCTTGGGATCAGGAGGCGGAGGTCGCAGTGAGCCGGGATCATGCCACTGCACTCCAGCCTGGGCAACAGAAAGACACTTTTTCTCAAAATTTAAATAAATGGATAAGTAAATAAATTACAAAAAATAATGTAGTAGTGAAAATGAGAAGTATAATGGAGATGACCGGTTGCCTCTAAATGTGCTGGAGAACATAGGAAAAGAAAATTATGACATCAGGTCCTTAAAGCCTTATCCATATCCAGATGCACATAAAGAACTAGAAAGTGTCCATGAAAGAACCCATTATCTCCTATAGCCGCAGAACGGATATTTGGGAAAACTAAGTCCAAAGCTGAATCTTGCGGCTGGCTGAATTACAACACGAATGCAATTCCTAATCTCTCAAGGTCTCTTCTGTTCATGTTAGAGCACTTGTTGGGAATGAATGGGATCCTGAATATTTTAATGTGACATATATGCAGACTTTGATGAAGCTGGGTACCTTGAACCCCTAAATTCTGTGAGATATGTCTTTCAGACACCTAAAAAAAGGTGTAAAAAAGTAAAAAGACACCTTCACTCCCGCCTGAGGAGTTTATTTCTCCTCTGCCTGAAGAACCTGCAATAGTCTCGTCTGAGGTAGTGGCCTTGCAGGATACTGCTGACCCTCCTGAGAAACTGCACCTACCACCTTTACTTCCTTTAAAACCCTGTAAAACTCAAGTTTCCACCAGCCTCAAACTAGAGGGTACATACTGCAACCCATTAGTAAGGGTAGAATTTACTATAACAACTACAGATTTTTTTCCAATGTTAATAGGCAGAAACCTAGGGACTTTGTGTGGAAATGCTTCTTGACGGTGGGGTATGAAGGTAGAAAAAAAATAAATTTGATACACACCAAATTTATTGATATAGAGTCATTAAGCCAAGGTTCTGGATTCTGTGTTTCTCTTTGAGAGGATAAGGATGGCTCTAGCAGTTTGCTTGGTTGGTTGACTTAAATAAGGAAGCAAATGTTGACTATCCTTAATTAAGGAGAAATTCAAGGTCTTCCTTGGTATATTACAAAGGCTTAAGGACACTGGAATGTTAGAGTGAATTTATCATGGAAGAACTGCTCAGCCACACTGGTAGGTCCAGAGGACGTGACTTTCACCAAGGCTGCAAGAAAGTACTTTGTATGGGGAGCCCAGAAATCTGTGAGGAGTTTGCCGTAGCTCTCTTCTTTACTCAGACATTACTGCAGGCTTGCCCTTCAGGAAAGATGATGCTGCACTGTCTAATAACTATGCTGTTAATCATCGTCCCGACCTTCCTCAACAGATCTGTGCCCACTTCTTACTGCGGCAGTGCTTGGTGGAAAAGTAATCAGAATTATCAGGGATTACTTGATAAAGACTCTGAACTGGTACTAATTACAGGATACTGAAAATGTCACTATGCTCTTCCAATAAGAGCTGTTTTTGTTAATCATGTGGTTTTACATCAGGTTCAATGTACAGTGGACTAAGTTGGTCCATGAATCCACCCTCTGGTTGTTTCCCAGTTTCAGAATGCATAGTTGGGAACATACACAGTGACTGGCAGAATCCCCACATTGCTTCCCTGACCTGTAGAGTGAGGGATGCTATGGATGGAGAGGCCAAGTTGAAGCCACTAGAACTGCCCTAATTATTAAAATCATAATCCACAAGCAACACTACTTTCCTGGAGGGACTGCAGTAACTGGTGGTAACAGCAAGCATTTGAAGGACACAGGCTGGTGATTCTTCAGCCATCCCTTTCAACTGAATTATTTCTCCTGTGCAGAAATACATGGATTTGTGGCCAGGCACAGTGGTTCACGCCTATAATCCCAGCACTCTGGGAAGCCGAGGCAGGTGGATCACTTGAGGTCAGGAGTTCAAGACCAGCCTGACCAACATGGTGAATCCCTGTCCCTACTAAAAAATACAATTAGCCAGGTGTGATGGTGCACAACTACAGTCCCAGCTGCTCAGGAGGTTGAGGCAGGAGAATTGCTTGAACCCGGGAGGTGGAGGTTGCAGTGAGCTGAGATCACTTAATTAAATTGTTGTTACAACTCCAGCTGCTGTGCTCCAGGTGATTTTGTTACTTTAGTAATCGTGACAACCCTGGGAACCTGATATATCATATCAATTAGGTGAATTTTTTTTCTCTTTCAATAATTATCACAAACAAGAGTTTGGGTTCGGCTGGAAAGGTCAGCAATGTACTTTCACCTCCTATTTCAAGCTTGTATCAAGTCTCTAGGCTTACATCCTAATTGAGTCCTTAAGGGACCTTGACCACCATTCCCTTATACCAGATGTGACACAATTCTTTGCCCTGATGACATTATGCTGACGGAGCAGGAGGTAGCAACTAATCCAGACACATTAGCAACACACTTGCAAGACATTATGTGAGAAATAATTCTCACACGAAACCAGGGGCCTTCTGACTGAGTGAAACGTTTAACAGTCTAGTAGTCTGGCATGTCAAGATGGTGCTTATAAGGTGAACAGCAAGTTCCTATATCTTGCCTTTCTTACAACTAAATAAGGAACACAAAAACAAATTGTGTAACAGATGCTTGTTTTCACGTATACCTCAATGTTGTACAGTATCGTGACCCACTGACAAGTGACTGAAACCCTGCTAGCATGGATCGGGGCCCAGAAAAAAGAAGCTTCCCTAATCCTGCACCTGTGGTCTCATGTGGAGTTCCCTATGACCAGTTGACTAGAAAATAAAAAACATCATGCCTGATTTTCATTTATTACTTCAGAATACGCAGGCACAACATGTATTAAGTTTGTAACTAATGCAAAAGAAATTATCCCCAATTCAGCAGCTTAAAATGACACAAACATATAAGCAGTTCTGCAGATCAGAAATCCATGCAGCCTGGATTGGTTTCTCTGCTTAGGATCTCACAAAATCAAAGTTAAGGTATCAACTAGGCTGCTGACTAATTGAGGACTCAGAGAGAAACCGTTTTCAAGCTCATTTGGGTTACAGGCAGGTCTAACTTCTTAAAGTTGTAGAACTGAGGTAGCCGTATACTTGCAGTCTTGGCTGAGGCCACTCTAAGCTACTTGAGCCACCTCCATAACTCCTTAGGTGCACCCTTCTATCTTCTAAGCAGTAATGGTGCATCATCATTATGGTGGCTGACATAAAGATTATTCATGGGTTTGGCAACATGAACTTTCACTTACCAGGTCCATCTCACTACAGCCACTCCTCACTATTCAATCTGCCAGCAGTAGAGACCAACACTGAGTCCCCAGTATGGCACCATGTCCCAGAGTGGTCACTCAGCTTCCAGGTAGCACTGTGATTACTTGAGTCTGCTTCCACAATTGAAGGGGCATCACTTTGTTCTTGCTCAAATAGACACTTATTCTGCATATGGATTTTCATTCCCACCCACGGTACTTCAAGAAAATCAATACTGTGGTATTAGGAAAGGCTGTGTCCACCATCATGGTATACCACACTGCACCAGTTTTCAACATGAAACTCACTTTACAGGAAATGAAGTATGGGAATGGGTTCATGCTAATGGATTTCACTAGTCTTGTGATGTTCCTCAACATCCTGAAGTGGCTGGCTCAATAGAACAGTGGAGTGATCTTTAAAGCCTGACTGTAGTTCTACTCTGTGGCAGTGCCTTGAGGAGCTTGGCTGACAATCTCAGAGGTGGCAATGCTGTATCCCAGCCTTAAGTATAAGGAACTATTTCTCCCATAGCAACACCTATGTCTTCAGGAATGAAAGAGGCAAGATTCGGGCCTCCCCTCACTATTACTCCTGGGTATCTAGTAGCCAAATTTTTCTTTTTGTGCTCAAGAAGCAAAGTTTGCTCTCAAGTAACCAACTTTTGGCTCTGTTGAACTAGAGGTCTTAGTTACAAATTGAGACATTTTTTCAACAGGGGAATCAAAAATGATTCCATTGAAATGAAAATTGTGTCTGCCAGCTGACCACTTTGAACTCTTCATTCCTTTCAACCAAGAGACAAAGTAGGGGGTCCACTACTGGCTCGGGTGATGAAAACCGAAAAAAAAAAAAAAAGAGATTAGGTTTCTACTACACTAGGGGCTCAGGAAGAGTAAGTCTGATATGTCTAGAGAGCTTCTTAGTCCTCCCGTGTTTGCAATTACAGTTAATGGAAAATCACAGCAATCCCATCAAGACAGGATATCTAATGGTTCAGTCTCTTCCATAATGAAGGTTTGATGAAGGTTTGAGTCATCCTGCCAGGCCAAGCACCATGACCAACAGACATGCTATCTCAGGGCAAAGGGAATGCGAAATGGGTAGTGAAAGAAGGCAGTTATAAATACCAGCTACAACAATGTGAGCTGCTGCAGAAACCACGACTGTAATAGTCTTTACCTAATGGGTTAATAATATCTACCAGCATAGGTGGGAATACAAAACAACCAAAAAACAAGTTATTCTTTCAAATGAAATGCTTAGGGAAAAAGAACAACTTTTACTAACAGACATTTCTTAGCCTCTGAAAGGCCATTTGATTCAGTAACATATGCCAGGAGACTTCAGCAATATCCTGCTCCACTGTAGAAAACAGCAATCTGATCCTTTTCTCTCCTCAATCATTAATGAGATTATGCATTTGAGTTGTCATAATCCTCCATGGACAAGTACTCCCAAATCATATGCTCCAGTTTCTTCTCAAGGAGCTGAACGAAGTCTCGGCTTATATATCTGAAAATAAAGAGACATGTCATTAACCAAAAGATAGCCGAAGAACCTATGCTGTAGGAAGCATTTTGAAGGATACAAAAATGAAGTAACAGTCAGCATGGAAACAGAAATGTATCTGCACGGTAAGAGGTAGTCTAGTCGGCAATAACAAATGCTGGCGAGGGTGTGGAGAAAAGGGAACCTTCACCCACTGTTGGTGGGAATATAAGTTACTACAACAACTATGAAGAACAGTACGGAGGTTGCTCAAAAAACTAAAAACGAAGCTGTCATATGGTCCAGCAATCCCACTGCTGGGTATATGCCCAAGAGAAAGGAAGTCAGGGTACTGAAGAGATATCTGCACTCCCATGTTTGTTGCAGCACCATTCACAGTAGCCAAGATTTGGAAGCAACCTAAGTGTCCACTAACAGATGAACAGATAAAAAAAAATATGGTACATATACACAATAGAGTATTGTTCAGACATAAAAAAAAGGATGAGATTCAGTCATTTGCAATGACATGGATGGAACCGAAGGTCGTTATGTTAAGTGAAATAAGCCAGGCACAGAAAGACGTTCTCACTTATTTGTGGGAGCAAAAATGTAAAACAACTGAACTAATGGAGATAGAGAGTAGAATGATGGTTACCAGAGGCTGGGAAGGTTAGTGGGGGTGGACGGTGTGGGAAGTGGGGATGATTAATAGGTAGAAAAATAGAATAAATAAGATGTAGTATTTTATAGCCCTATAGGGTGACTATTGTAGGTAATAATTTAATTGTACATTTAAAATAATGAAGACTATAATTGGATTGTCCGTAACACAAAGGATAAAAGCTTGAGGTGATAGATACCCCATTTACCTTGATGTGATTATTACACATTGTTGTCTGTATCACAATATCTCATATACCCCAGAAATATATGCATCTGCTATGTACCTACACACATTTTTTAAAAAGAGGTAGTCTAGCAAATACAAAGAGTGTCAATCAAGGGATAATGCGCACCTCAGACTATGGTGAGAATGGAAGTCTCCATAGTCTTCGAAGAATGAGTTAGATTCAGATAACATTAGCCTAAGTAACTGTGGAGACAGCCGTAACTATGAGTGAGGACCAGGGTTTGAGAAATTCAAGGCAGGGGCTGTTCCCCAACGCTCACCCCCAGTACTCTATTGGACCCAAGTGCTTAAAGAAATTGGACAGTTCCTATTTCTACCCACCTTGCTGCTTCCTTGATGATGGATTCAAAAAATAGTTTCTTGACTTCTATAGGTCCTTGCACTCCTTCAAGCAATTTGAAGATTTTTTCGTATTCTGAAGATGTTAAAAAAAAAAAAACCTTCAGTATTATCAAATATAAAGAAGAATACAAGAGAATGTATACCTCAGCAATCATGCTTCACAGGCTAAAATGTTTTAAATCCTTAAATCAAGATACCTGCACATACAAAAACTAAATAATAAAAAGACACCTGCACATACATACAAATGAAACTCTTTTAACCATAACCAAGCAGAAAAGCAAAGCAAAAGGTGTACTATGCTTTAGTCAAAGAAAAGAGGAACCACCGTAAATTATGGGCAAACTCAATTCCGGCAAAGAATGAGTCTCAACAGGTAACATGGATATCTTTTGAATCATAGAGAGACTTCCTATAGTTTTATAAAACAGACATTCTCATACTACTTACTTCGTCCAATGCTTCGGATTTCCTTCACTAATTGACATTTTATATCAGCATTAATTTCTTCTTGGCTTTTGGGAAAAGGGATTATTTCTCTGCATTTTAGGTCATCTCCAGAGAAATTGCTGGTAATGATTCCTCCCACAGGTGCATTGCTACCAGGTTTCTGCATCAGCCCATCTTTGCTGAAATCAGCGAAGTCATCAATCTGAGAATCCAACTGGCTTGGTAGAACACCATGTCCTGTCTTATGCTCTGGTGAAACAGATTTTGACAAAAAGCCATCAGTTGGTGTTTGACCACTTTCTTTCCCCTCCACATAGATATAATGAATGACAGATCTGGAAACCAAACTGAGAAGTTGAGCTGTGAGAAATGTGTGTTTCATCCCTCCTCTGGGTACATCTATGGGCTACTCAGTTTCTAAGGGAATTATTTATTTCATAAATGGGAAGATATACCAGGGGGAAATCCCAGACCTGACGAACTGAGGCCAGGACACATAATACAATAAAACCACCTCTTATTTTCTGGTCCTATGAATAGATATGGAAACCAAGTGAGACAGTACAACTCTAAAGCAACATTCACAGATCCCTGGTACTCATGGGATAGTTTCAGCTTGTTATGCTTTACAAGTTGAAAGCAGCAAATCTCACTTGATATCGTGATTTCTCAAATTCACTTACAAACTGCCATGCTTTACTGAGCTGGAAGCCAGACAACTTGGATAGACCACAAGCAGCCTCCTCTCTACATCAAATATATTCCAAGAAAATAGAGGCGGCCATTACTGCTGAAAGTGCTATATGCACTCCATCACCAAAAATCCCTTTTAGTGTATGATTTTCCTCATCCTTCCTTTCTGTCCCAGAAAATGACTTTCTTTTCACTCTAGGTCTGACACCTCTCATTTATTCATCGTCTGTGGCAGGCAGCATGCTAGTAGCTGGGGATCAGCAATAAACAGCCCAGAGAGCAACGTTTCCTGCCCTTGTGGAGCTCACATCTTCATGGGGCGGTCAGACAGTACAAGCACAATAAGCAAATGAAACAAATGGCATTGGGCTAGTGGTAGGGAAGCCGTCCACAGGCCTGTGGGCAACAGCAGCAGAGGGAGCCCCAGGAGCTCTCACTGGTTGTGCAGAGCCTTCTGCGGATGTACCCTTAGGCAGGGCTTGAAGGAAGAAGCAGAGCTGCCTGCGCAGAGGCAGAGGGGGAGTTCCAGGTTGCCATGAGGCCAAGGGTATGGACTGGAGTGGGGATGGACTGGAGTGGGGATGGACTGGGAAGGACAGAAGCTGAGAGAGTCAGGAGATGATGGGCCCGTGTTAGAGGAGGGTGACAGAGGCCAGGCCATGCAGAACCTTGCAGACAAAAGCTGGTTCACAGTCAGTTCTGAGTGCTTAGGAGAGTTGAGGATGGATGTTCAGGAGTGACATGCAATGATGTGATTTACATGCCAGCATGATGAACTGGCTGTAGGGTTAGAGCGTATGGTTAGATGGGGACAGTAATGGGAAACGTGGAGGTATCACAGGAGCTCAGTGAGTGATCATGGCAGAGTGGAATAGAAGGAGAGAGAGAGATGTCGGGGTTCAGAAAATTTTTACAGTATTTAGAGAAGAGAAGAAAAAGAAAGGTAGAAAAAAAAGAATGATAGGGGTCGGGGGCGGTGGCTCGTGCCTATAATCCCAGCACTTTGGGAGGCTGAGGTGGGTGGATCACCTGAGGTGAGGAGTTCGAGACCAGCCTGGCCAACATGACGAAACCCCATCTCTACTAAAATTACAAAACTTAACTGGGTGTGGTGGCTGGTGCTTGTAATCCCAGCTACTTGGGAGGCTGCGGCAGGAGAATTACTTGAATCCAGGAGACTGAGGTTTCAGTGAGCCAAGATCGCACCACTGGACTCCAGCCTGACCGGGAAGAGCAAAACTCCATCTCAAGAAAAAAATGATAGGGATTCACCAATACGGACAAGAAATTTAAAAAAAAAAATTGTGGAAAATGGAAATGCTAGAAGGTTTTCATGAAGAAGCGAGTGAACAACTGTCAAATGCTGCAGAGAAATTAACGGCAATGTCAGCTGAAACCGTTGACCTTGACAAGGACAGTTTCTCTGGAGGGGATGAGGCAGGAGGCTGACTGCACTGGATACAGCATGAAGAGGAGGTGACGACAGGCTTACTTACTCTTTTCTTTGGACATGGCAGAGCCTGCAGTAAGGCTGTCTCCTGCTCCTTGTTTCCTTGCCAACAGGGCCATCTTCTGCCTTTTCTGATATGAAGGACTGTCACATTCCCTGGGACGTTTAAACACGGTTTCAGGATCTACAGCCACCTTCTCTGTTTTATCGGTCATTGTTTCCTGAAAAACATCAATGAACATATTCCATTCATGACAAAAATCTAACAATCACAAAATGGCAAACTGTCTTCATATGTGTATACAACCAAGACTTTGAATCATTAATTTCACTTTTAATCATGAGCCAAGATTTACCAAGTCTCACCAAACACTCTGTTCTCAGGAAAAGAAACCTAATTTTAATGTACACTAAGTAAAAAAAGAAGAAAGATGGTATAACCAAATCAGTCAGAATGCTTGTGGAATAAGCAGCTGTCATCAACCAAAAACAGATGAAAATATTATTACCTATTTGAAGATGTGTAAGCCAATCTGTATTAACCCTTATTAGGAAAAATGGATGTATAAAGCAATCTGTATTAACCCTTACTATACATTATGTTTTCAATTATATATATTATACATTATATTATACATCACATATATTTAATATATAAGTATTTATACTTATATATTCAAATAGATGCATAAACCAATCTGTATTAACCCTTATTAGGAACTCTTATTAGAAGACTGATAAAAAACTGATAACAACATCTGCCAAGGACTTTAGAAGAAAGAAAAACTACAAGATCAAGGCAAAAATACAAGCCAAGATCACCCCTGAACTTAGACACAACAATTCCAAATTAAAGGTGAGCAAATAAAATGCAATAGTACTTAAAAAGGACATACATCAGCCATGGTGGAGTATATTGCAGAAAGACAACATTGATTTAACATTTGAAAATCAATAAATGTAATGAACCACATTAACAACGATGACAACAAAAACAGGGAAACACCACATGATCATTTTCATACATGGGTCAATGTTTAAAGTCCATTCGTGATAAAAACTATCACCAACTTAGAAAAAAGGGCAACTTTCCTATTCTGGTTAGCATATGTACAAAAAAATTGTAAATGTCATATTTCATAGTGACGTATCAGTATTTTCTCCCTGAGTGTGAAAACAAGACAAAGATGTCCACTATCCATTCAACAATTTACTGGAGGTTCTAAAAGAGCAGTAGCATCAGGAAAATATAATAGGTTTAAAATTTGGAAAGAAATAAAACTGTCAATATTCACAAATGACATTGTTCTGTACATAGAAAATGCAGAAGAATAAAATCATTATGTTTAATAAGCAAATTTAGTCAACTTACTAGATATAATAAAAACCAACGGCATTTCCGTATAATTAATAGCAACAAAAAATTAGAATATGAGATTTCAAATGTCATTAAAAACAGTACCAAAACATCAAATATTTAAGAATAAATCTAACCCAGATGTGCTAGAGTACTAGACAAAAATTATAAAACATCACTCAGAGAAATTCAAGACTGCAGTAGATGGAGAAAAATATTCTTTCCATGCATTGGAAGACTTTTTGTGTGTGTGTGTGTGTGTGAGACGGAGCCTCGCTCTGTCGCCCAGGCTGGAGTGGAATGGCACCGTCTCTGCTCACTGCAAACTCTACCTCCTGGGTTCAAGCGATTCTCCTGCTTCAGCCTCCCAAGTAGCTGAGATTACAGGCACCTGCCATGACACCTGGCTAATTTTTGTATTTTTAGTACAGACGGGGTTTCACTATGTTAGCCATACTGGTCTCGAACTCCTGACCTCAAGTGATCCATTCGACTCGGCCTCACAAAATGCTGGGATTACAGGCGTGAGCCACCGCCCCCAGCCGGAAGACAATATTAAGAGACATTATTGTCAAGTCTCTCAGAATGATCATAGCAATCATATTTAAAATTCCACCATGTTAACAAAAGTTTTTCTGGAAATTGACGAGCAGATCATTTTTTAAGTACATGCAAATTAAAGATTTGGAAAAGCCACGTTTTTTTAAGTCAAGGAAAAGACAAAGTTTTTTTAAGAAAAAGAACTGGCTAGGTGCAGTGGCTCATGCCTGTAATCCCAGCACTTTGGGAGGCCGAGGCGGGTGGATCACAAGGTCAGGAGAGCCTGGCTAACATGATGAAACCCCATCTCCACTGAAAATACGAAAAATTACTTGGGCATGGTGGCGGGCACTTATAGTCCCAGCTACTCAGGAGGCTGAGGCAGGAGAATGGCATGAACACAGGAGGCAAAGCTTGCAGTGAGCCGAGATTACGCCACTATACTCCAGCCTGGGCGACAGAGCGGGACTCTGTCTCAAACAAACAAACAAACAACAACAACAACAACAACAAAAAGAACTAAGTTAGTAGAAATGCACTACTATATATGAAATTTACCATAAATGTAGAGTAATTAAAACAGTATGGTATCAGAGCAATGACAGGCAAATACCAAAGGGAAGAGGACACAGAGGCCAGAAACAATCTGGCAATACAAAATACAGAAGAGCTGTAAATCACTGTGGAAAGGACAGTGCTTTTAATAAATGCACTTGATAAATGCAGGGAAAATACAAACCTTGACTCTTACCTCTTCCCACTCCACAGAACTTTGTTAAAGATGGATAGACAATCTAGTAAACACTTAAGATATTGTCTTCACAACTATAGAATAGGCAAAGATGTTTTTAATGAGGATAAACAAGCACTAACCATAAAGAATGAATTCTTTAATTACACATAATTAAATGGAAAACTTCCATTCCTCAAAGACACTATTAAGATACTGAAAACCAAAGCATGTTTATAGATTATATATTATGTGTTATATAGTATAGGTTATATATAAAAATATATATTAATTACACACACATATACATCTATATCTGGCAACAAATGAGTGGAATCCAGAATATATCCAGAACTACAAATCAATTTCTAAAAAACCAACATCCCAATAAAATTTGGGGGGAAAAGCTGAAGATTCACTTCATAAGAGTCATACTCAAATGGCTAATAAGCACATCAAATATATGTGGTCTCTGACTTTACTCCATTCCATGAGAATTTATTTCAGATGATTGGGAGATCTAGAAGAAAACTTAGAATATTATCATCATGAGTGTAAATTAGTTTAACCATTGTGGAAGACAGCGTGGTGATTCCTCAAGGATCTAGAACCAGAAATACCATCTGACCCAGCAATCCCATCACTGGGTATACACCCAAAGGATTTTAAATCATTCGACTATAAAGACACATGCACACGTATGTTTATTATAGCACTATTCACAACAGCAAAGACTTGGAACCAACCCAAATGCCCATCAATGATAGACTGGATAAAGATAATGTGGTACATATACACCACGGAATACTCTGCAGCCATGAAAAAGAATGAGTTCATGTTCTTTGAAGGTACCGGTGTCAGCAAGCTAACACAGGAACAGAAAACCAAACACCACATGTTCTCACTCATAAGTGGGAGTTGAACAATGAGAACACATGGACACAGGGAGGAGAACATCACATAGCGGGGCCTGTCAGGGGTTGGGGGGCTAGGGGAGGGAAAGCATTAGAGAAATACCTAATGTAGCTGACAGGTCGATGGGTGCAGCAAACCACCATGGCATGTGCCTACTTATGTAACAAACCTGCACATTCTGCACATGTATCCCAGAACTTAAAGTATAATAATAATAAAAAAAGAATATTATCGTAATGGCATTGGGTGAGGCAAAGATGTTTCTTAAAATAATAAAAAGCACTAGCCATAAATAATACACTGATTAATAAAATTAAGAGAATCTGTTCATCTAAAACACATCATTGAGATCGTGTAAAAGCAAAAAAGATTTATAGAAGATACTAAAATTGTATACGTATTTTTATATATGTACATATATGCCTGTGTGCACGGGTGTATAACTCAAATAAGATTATATGGAAGCTACAAATCCATTTTTGAAACGCAAACATCTTAGTAAAAGCTGGGGAAAAATACCTGAAAAGGAACTTCATAAAAGACAAAGTTAAATGACCAATAAACACATAAAATGGTGGGAAAAAAAAAAAACGATAAATAGCTGGGTGTGGTGGCACTGCAAGCCAGCCTGGGCGACAGACGGAGACCCCGTCTCAAAAGACAAACAAATCAATAAATAAAAACAATTTTTAAATAGGTGCTCGATCTCATTAATCAGCAGAGAAATGCGAGTGTAGACATAAGGAGAGATCACTGCACCCCCATCAGAGTGGCTGGAATGAAAGACTAACTGTATTGCGAGTGTTCCAATGTGGCACAGCTGGAACCTTCGAATATTTCTGGACCCCCACTCCCACACAGACACCTGAGGCTGTGGCTGAAAGGTCAGATAGAATCCCCGCAAAGAGTTCCTTCAGAATTGAGATCAACCAACCGAGGAAACGCACCCCAACCATGGGCAGAACAGCGTTCTCAATGTCACATGACCTCCTTCATGGCTGACACAGAGCTCCCTGAGTCTCTCCATGGGCTTAGAGAATCCAAGGAACAGCACCCCATTCCCCTGCGGCACCAGGAGAGAGCACCCACAGATAATAATTTTAGAAACCTAGCACCAAGAGAAAGCATACAGTAAACGTCTACATCAGGGAAAAGCAGAACCAAATAAAAGCCAACACATTCTACCTGAGAGCGAGCAACATCCAAGGACAAATGCGCCCCACGGCCGACATCAGCACCCAAGGAAGAGTCCCTCGGGGGTCGAGATAAAGCCCCCAACAGTGACCCCACAAGGCTACGATCATGCGTCTGGGGCACAGCCACCCCCACCACGTTCCATGAGCACAGAAAAGGTCCCCAAGGCAGAATGCTCCCTCAGAACGGCGACTGAGCGGGAAAGAAACGCCGCCGCACCCAAGGCCGACACAGGCATGCCCCCCATCCCTGGGCTCAGGTCATTTCAGCAGGAAAAGTCCCTAGCATCACCGAGAGGGAGCCCCCAAGAAAAGCCCCCCAGCCCAACAACATAGCCGAGATGGGGTGCCCACGGAAAACGCTCCCCCATGGCTGACACAGGCTCCCATGGCGGTGTCCCCAGAGCGGAGCCACTTCCCCAAGGGAGCCCTACCACACACTGGACAGAGAACACCACAGAAAAGATGCTTTCCAAGGAAAAAGGACACTTTCCGGGGTGAAATTAAAAGTATCCAGGGAAAAACTGCCCACTCACAGTCCTGAAGTCCTGACCTCACTGGAGGAGTGACGGCGGCACCTCACAAAATGGCAGTGAACCTGTGGCGCCTCCCTAGTGGTGGTAGTTTCTAGAAACCTGCCCTCTGGGAGTTGTGGGAAATGTGCCCCCTAGGGCACCTGGGAGTGATGTGCATGGGGAGGCGTCTCACCAGAAGCAGCGATCCGTTCGGCCCAAGGGGGATGGAAGGAAGGGAAATAGCCAGCCACAGCGTGCCTGCCCCAGCCGAACATTGGGAACCTGTTGGGGGCGCCAGGGTCCTGAGGAGAAGCCTCGTGCCCCAGAGAACCAGGAAACGCAGCCCTCCCCTTCGCTGACTCTGGCGCCTTCTACAGGCGACCTTTAGTAACAACTGCACAGCAACATAAGCAGAGTAACACAGAACCTTCTCAACACAGCGGGATGAAATCGCCTGGGTAACATAGTGAGACCCCGGCTCTACAAAGCAACCAACCAATAAAAATAAAAAAAAATAAAAATAATAAAAAATAATAAAAAAAGAAAGAAAGAAAGAAAGACGCAAAAATAAAAAATCAGCCTGACATGGTGGCGCACGCCTGTAGTCCCAACTGCTTGGGAAGTTGAGGTGGGAAGATCGCTTGAACCCAGGAGATGGAGGTAGCAGTGAGCCACTGAACTCCAGCCCAGGCGATACAGGAGACTCCATCTCAAAAAAAAAAAAAAAAAAAAAAAAGAAAAAGAAAAGAAAAAAGGAAAAGCAAAGAAAAATAAACAGCAACAAGAAACCGAAATTTTCATTTGAGGGTGTTGTGTTTTAAAGTCAACCCCGACCAGGCGCAGTGGCTCACACCTGTAATCTCAGCACTTCGGGAAGCCAAAGCGGCTAGAACACCTGAGGTGAGGAGTTCAAGACCAGTCTGACCAACATGGTGAATTCCGTCTCTACTAAAAATACAGAAAATTATCCAGGCATGGTTGTGCGCACCTGTAGTCCCACCAGCTACTTGGAAGGCTGAGGCAGGAGAATCACTTGAACTGGGGAGGCAGAGTTTGCAGTGAGCTGAAATCACACCACTGCACTCCAGCCTGGGTAAAAGAGTGAGACTCTGTCTACAAATAAAAATAAATAAATAAATAAATAAATAAATAGCCAACCTCTATCTGTTAAAGGTAACCATTATTGTTAATTGATAAGAAAAATGAGGGCCACAGTGCAGTGGCTCACACCTGTAATCCCAGCAATTTGGGAGGCCAGGATGGGTGGATTCCTTGAGCCCAGGAGTTCAAGAGCAGCTTGGGCAACATGGTGAAACCCTGTCTTTACACAAAATAGAAAAATTAGCTGAGCGTGTACCTGTGGTCCCAGCTGCTTGGGAGGCTTGAGACCAGGAGGTTGAGGCTGCATTGACCTTCGATCGCACCACTGCACTACAGCCTGGGTGACCGAGTGAGACTGTAAAAAACAAACAAACAAAAAAAGAAGAAAGAAAGAAAAAAAGAAAGGAGGGGAAACCTTAATATATTGCATCTATTAATCATTTTAATATGGAACTTTGTATATTTTTCCACCTTTTTTATTTTTTTGAGACAGAATCTGGCTCTGTTGCCCAGGGTGGAGTGCAGTGGCATGATCTCGGCTCACTGCTACCTCTGCCTCCCAGATTTAAGCGATTCTCCTTCCTCAGCCTCCCGAGAAGCTGGGGTTACAGGCATGCACCATCATGCCTGGCTAATTTTAGTATTCTTAGTAGAAACGGTATTTCACAATGTTGGCCAGGCTGGTCTCAGACTCCTGACTTTAAGTGATTCGTCTGCCCTGGTCTCCCAAAGTGCTAGGATTACAGGTGTGAGCCACTGCGCCTGGACCATTTTTCCACTTTCACAACTTCTTTTAAGTGCAGCAAAATTTACTTGAATTGTCTATAGTGGCAAAAAAATATTACAGCAAAATTTTTAGAGTTTTAATGGAGCAAGCAGTTTCACTCTTGACACAATTATTTGGAAGGGATTACTTCACTGGTTTTATAATTCAAAAGTTATGTTTGTAAAAAAATTAAAATTAAAATTATAAAATATAGCCAGGCATAGTGGTGGGTGCCTGTAATCCCTGCTACTCAGGAGGCAGAGGCAGGACAATCACTTGAACCTGAGAGGTGCAAGCTTTGGTGAGCAGAGATCACGTCACTGCACTTCAAAGGAGCAGAGATCCATTGTCACTGGGGGACAAAGGGAGACTCCACCTCAAAATAAATAAATTAATTAAAATTAAAAATTATGTTTGTTAAGTACCCTGTTAGAAGAGAGTCATTTTCAGTATTACAGCTTCTTGGCCTATTGTGTTAATATTTGCCTGTGCTTCAGAACCTTCATAGAACACATTTTCTTTTGGAATATATTTGACTGATAAGGAAGCTTAAGCATTGTTATCATTCGAAGTAGGAACACAGTTGTTTTGTTTGTTTCTTCTAGTGCTATCAAAGTGAAATACTCATTTTTGCATTAAAAAATACCACCACAGCAGTACTCATATGCGTATTTGATTGAATAACCATGAGACTGGAATCTTGGAGGGGCATAATTAGAATCCTGCCTACCACACAAGCCATAAGTGAATAGCTGCATACGACAGTCCTGACTGGGACAGCCCTGAAGGACAGTGGTGATGGGAAATCCTCCCAGAGGGAAGAACTTTGAGCAGTGCACCTTCTTAGAGGAGACATATCCAGACGTGTAAGTATGTATCATGCATAGGCTGTGTCCCACTTATTAGCTGAATTGTCAGGGACTTTGAGGACACATGATTAAAAACTTGTGACAAGGAGGTCTGAGAAAAAAACATATGTGGACGGACCTTTGCAAATGGACATACAATGTGAAGATATTGGGGTCTCATGAGAGTTCTCAGCAAAGGGTATCCTCAGCAGAGCAGAATTTTAATAATCGGATGGATAAGGTACTTATTATCTAGATATTAATCAGCCCCTTTCCCCAACACTTGTGTCACAATCTTATGGGCTCAACAAACAAAGTGGTCAAACTGTCAGGGATGGAGATTATGTGCAGTAGCATGGACTTCCACTCACCATGGCAAACCTTGCTACGGTTATTGCTGAGTGAACAATCTTCCAAGAATGGAGACCAATACTAAGCCACCAATTTGGCCCCAGACTCCAGAATGATCTGACAGTCACTAGTTGGTATGTGGATTACAACGGATCACTTCTATTATAAAAAGAGAAGTGCTTTCTTCTTACCTGAACAGACATTTAGTCTAGATATGGATTTTCCTTCCCACTTGCAGTGCTTTTGAGAAAACCAATATTTGTATTTTGGCTTCCAAAATTCTGGAAAATGCTAGTTCCCCAACTTCCTAGGGTTATTCTGGAGACTCTAGTATACACTGCAAGAAAACCTGTAGGCCATCCACTCGAGTGCCCAAATGGAGTCACTCTTAAATAACGAGCCCTGCATGTTTCCAGAAACTCTATTTATCAGTGAAAAGTTTACTATGGCAGCCATTTTGCCACCCAGGACAATTGGAGAATGGCAGATATTAGGGACCATTAACTCTGTAAAAGCTGTAGAAGACTGCAGTGAAGAATCACAGTTACAGAACGAAAAGTGACAGTCTTCTATTTTGGATGTTTGTACAAAGAGGATATATAATTAATAAAGTGCTTGAGGAACAGGTTTCTGCCTTAATACCAAAAACTAACATAGAAACCTGTAAAGGTGTCTCAGTATAGTAATCCTTTTTATGTATATCTGCTTAAGATTTAAAACTGAAGCTTTCTTTTTCAACCTTTTTAAAATTTTGATGCCGGAAGGGTACATGTACAGGTTTCTCACCTGGGTATAATTGCATAATGCCAGGGTTTGGGCTTCTACTGAACCCATCACCCAAATAGTGAAGAGAGTATCCAATAGGCAGTTTCTCAACCCTCCGACCTGCTCCCTTCCTCCCCTCCACCTCCATTTTGGAGTCCTCAGAGTCAATGGTTTCTACCTTTATGTTCATGTGTACCCATTGTTTAGCTCCCACATATGAATGAGAACGTGCTGTATCTCATTTTCTGATTATCGGATAATGCTTCTGCGTTTCACTTAAAAGAGAAGTTTTCACTGGTGGCTTTCATAAGTGGTTCACGCCTGTAATCCCAGGATTTGGGAGGCAGAAGTTTATAAATGCCATAATTTCATATTAGTAAGGGAGATATGACAAAGTAAACAAAGTGTTTGGACTCTTTAACTGGAGAAATATTACTTTCTATGCATACATCTGATCTACAAAGGAAGCCACTTATGTACTTATAAGTATTCTGTTGATATGTCTTGTAGAGTTTCATCTGCAATAATTGGTTTAAAACAGAACAGAGTATCAATACTTTGTAACACAACAACATCACATTTGGATCTTGTAAAACTGAATCACTAATCTCTCTTTGCACAGTCTTATCCAAATTTAGCCTTAAGATTTTTATTGAACAATACCAGTCACAGTGGCATCCTGCAAAAAGAACTTTCAGTAAGCTGAAGCTGAATAAAAATCCCTTGAGATTATCACTTGGTCAAGAGAAATTGTCACACATGGCAATTCTTCTCATTGAAAATGAGATCGACAAAGTAGTATATTTTGAAAATATCACAAGTTTGTTTGCATTAGAGCCAGAAAGTAAGATGGTAATAAATTATATTTAGAGCATAAATAAAATATTCCAATTTAAAATAATCTTGCAAGAGGGCACAGTAGCTCACACCTATAATCCCAGCACTACAGGAGGCCGAGGCAGGTGGACAGCTTGAGCCCATGAGTTCAAGACCGATCAGCCTGGTCAACATGGCAAATCCCATCTCTACAAAATATATAAAAACTAGCCAGGTGTGGTGGTGTGCACCTGTAATCCCAACTACTTGTGAGGCTGATGTAGGAGGATTGTTTGAACCTGTGAGTTTGACTCTGCAGTGAGCCACATTATGCCACTACACCCCAGCCTTGGTGACAGAGCAGGACCCTGTCTCAAAATAATATATATATATAAATAAAATATATATAATATATTTACTTTACATATAAAATATATATATTATATATTTACCGTATATTATATATCATATATCTACTATATATAGTATTATATATAGTACTATATATGATATATCTACTATATATAGTAAATAACAAAAATAAATATAGTAAATAACAAAAATAGTTATATAGTATAGCTATATAGTAAATAAAAATAAATTTAAAATAATATTGTAAGGTTTATGCACCTACTTTCCAATTTTTCAATATCT